AGGTACGTATGCTTATCAATGGACTTGTGATGCTGATAATGATGATCATATTGGTGCCATTTTAGTATAAATTCGGTTTTTATTTAATGTATTACTATTTCATTGTTACAATATTTTTGTACCTACATGACACTACATGACACTCGAAGTTACTTTTTTACTGATTCAAGGTTTCCAAATGCGCTTAAATATTAGCTGTCGCATTCGTTAATTTTTTGTTGTTTGACTGCTAAATATCTTACAAGATAGAAAATTAAACACACAGTATCTTGATTTAGATACAGAACGCGTTTGCACGCACGCACTCACGTATGCACTCACAAGGAGGTGTTAAGAACATGCCTATATCCTATATCTTTAAACGAGCAATTTATATATATATATATATATATATATATATATATATATATATAATCGGAATCTCGGAAACGGCTCCAACGATTTTCATAAAATTTAGTGTCCAGAGGGTTTCGGGGGCAATAAATTTTTATGATTCATTTTTAGAAAATGTCGTTTTGTCCGTGTTTTCAGGCAATGAAAAACTGCTACAATATAAGGAGGTACATTTTAAGACTGTATTAACGATCGTAATAGCTCAGGTGGATTTCGGCCCGTCGCGAAATAGTAGTTCCCTTGTTCGCGTCCTGTCTTGGGTCTGACTTTTTTCCCTTTTTTTTCAAGTCCCCTTCTTTTGTGGGAAAATCTATTATTTCGAGGCCTTTATTTGTATTTTTTTTTCAAAAATACGAAAATTTTATTGCACTCATGATTTTTTATTTTAATAACCAGTTCAGTTTTTTTGTATTATGTCGGTAAGATCAAAAATATCCTTCATATTAATCAGTATGTAATTTTTATCTAAATATAATTTCCAAAACACACGATTTCCAAAAAAAAAAAAAAATACCGAGCAATGCTCGGTCATCAGGTACTATGATATTATTTTAGTAATTTTTGATGTAGTTTTCGTATTATTGTAAACAGATCTGTTTACAATAATACGAAAACTACAACTTTTACGTTAGTATAATAAATTATTTTTATAATTTCAGATTCGGCTATATTCTTCGGCGCAGATACAATGGAGTAATGCGTCCTTATTACAGACTACCATTTACAAAAGACGTATGGTGTTGCTTATATTCCATGGTTATTTTGGCAACATTCATTTTTTATGTAACTAGACGATGGGAGAGAAGTATTGTTGGTTATTTAGAATGCAGTTTTATTTACGAATTTTATGCCGCTATAGGCGTAGTTTGTCAGCATAGTAAGTATAACATCGATGTGTAAATATGTTTTTGAAATAACTAGAGTTTTTTTTAAATTAAATTTAAATAAGCTACGGCTAGAAAAAGTAAAGTTCGGGTACACATTGGTTTAGCTGGCTACTGTTAAGTGAAACCGATTGCGCTTGGTTAAATTTAGATGCGCATTTTTTTACAGAGCCTACGTTACTTTATGCCAGATTTTTTGCTTCACCTATTGATACATGCTATAACCAAACGTGAACAAGCAAGGTGACAAACGGCTTTTGTATTTTTGACAAAGTTGTAAAGAGTTCTAGTTTTTGTATTCATCATCATAAAATGTCTGAGTACGCGAGCAACTCGAGTGTGAATTCAAGGTCACAATTTAAATTGTTAAGGCAGTGAATTTACCTATAACTTGCTGTGAAGCAACATACCGTAAGCAAACCTATATGTCTAAGAAACTAAAATATTGCAAGATTACTAAAGGTCCAGTCCTGTGTTTCCACTGTCCAGACCATGTACAGTCCCGTATTATGTTATGTGGTATATAAATAATTTGATAAAGATTCAAATTTGAAACAGTTAAGTCGCTATTACCAGTTACTTTAACTGCACTAATACCCTGAGATATATAAATGATCAAGTTATGACGGAAAATGCATTAAAATGTTGAAACTAAATTCCATTGATTCATATATGGTTAAAGATATTTTAATCTCAAAAGAAATATACATTTCACTTAATGAGAAGTTACAATATTCAAGTTATAAATGGGTTATGAGCATACAGATAGCAAATATATATATATATATATATATATATATATATATATATATATATATATATATATTAACATTAAAAAGTGAGGAAAGAGTTTCGTGACATACAACTTCTTACTAGTTTAGGCATACAACTTAATACTTCATATAGAGTGCAGCATTAGCTTTTTTATCTATTATAAGCCAGTGCTCGAGTACTTTCCCACTTGGTGGATGATGCAACCTAAGGTGGTAAAAAGCACTGACTTGTTTTAATAAAAGCCTATTCACTCTTGTCTGGAATATACCCACATTGTAATCGGATGGACAGACAGATGCTGACAAATTATTTCTGTTTGTCCCATGGTGAAAACTAGAAGCAGAATTCAGTTATGGAACTTCGTAGTAGCTCAGATGGTTAACGCTCGCTGTAAATATAACAGAAGGTCAACTTGCACAAACCTTGTAACTTTTACAGAGTCTTTGGTAAAAGCAATAGATGCAGGTGGACAATGTGATGTAATATACACAGATTTAATTAAAGCTTTTGATAGAGTTCCGCATAAAGTCCTAAACTACAAATTAGCCGTTTATGGGATTGCCGGGTCATTATAAATGGATTTCAATCTGATAATCGTATCATTTGCTCTGATGTACCACAGGGCTCAAATTTAGGACCAATATTATTTAACCTGTTTATATATGACATTTCTAGTTGCTTTAAATTTTCGGAACCCTACATGTATGCGGAGGATTTAAAGTTTGGAAGAATAATCGAATCTTTAGAAGACTCAGTATTGTTACAGACAGATTCAAATAGACTTGTAAATTGGTGTAATCTTAACGGCATGAATCTTAGATATTCTAAATGTTCACATGCTAAATTTACAAGAAATATTAAGTTGATCAATATTTATTACTTCAAAGGGAATAACAAAATATAAGAAGTAGAAGTGATAAGGGATCTTGGTGTATATTTGACAAGAAACTAACTTTTTTTACCTCATATTGATAGTATTATAAATAGATCTCCCAAAATTTTAGGGGTTGTCATAAGAAATGGTAGGTCATTTAAAAACTCGAAAACAAAAAAAATATTATACACTATCCTTGTAAGGAGTAAAATGGAGTACTGCAGTGTTGTCTGGCGTCCACACTATTCGTTGCGATTGGAGAGAGTTCAAAGACGCTTTTTGTGGCATTTACATATTCTGTTGGAAAAGCATGAAAATATCATCCTATTCAGATAGAATTCAATATTTTAATATGCTACCCTTATCGATACGTCTAAAATTAATAGATATTATGTTTTTATACAAGGTGCTTAGAAATGAAGTAGATTGTCCACAGCTTCTCGCCCAATTTAAATTTCGCACTCTAATAAGAATTCCACGCAAACCAATTCCACTTCTTTACCCACCACGTCGTAGAACTGTTCTCAGTGCGCATTCGCCAGTCGCAAGGTTTTGTAAAGTCTTTAATGTATGTAGTGATGTCGTTGATGTTAATTTTGAATACATATGTCAGTTTCATAAGAATTTATTTAAGTTCTTCAAACATTGTCAAAGCACAAATCCTGTACTAAATTATTAATAATTAGTGTAAAACACACACACACACACACACACACACACACACACACACACACACACACACACACACACACATACACACATACACGCACGTGTGCGCGTACGCACTCATACAATATCAAATTATTTAAAATAAGATTTAAATAATTTGATATTGTGTGCTAAGAACTTACATTTTAATACTATTTAGATAAATAGTACTAAAATGTAAATTGATAGCATGTTATGATTACCTTTAAGTGATTGTACATTTAGAAATAACGAAACCGTGAATTTTAATTAACGACGTAATAATGTATCAATCGTTGGTAATCCTAATAAAGAGAGAAAAAAAAGAACGCGAGTAACCCAGGTTCGATCCCCGCTGGCACCAATGAAATTGTTAACGCAATTTTAAGTGCTGATTTACCACACGCTCGGCGGTGAAGGAAAACATCGTGAGGAAACCTGCATGTCTGAGGAATAAGAAAAAAAATATTTCGAAGACATGTGAAGTTCGCCAACACGCATTGGGGCTACGCGGCGGACACTTCCCCGCCCTTCAACCCTCCCAGAAATGAAAGGAGGCCTGTGCCCAGCAGTGGGACGTATATACGCTGTAACTTTACTTTTTACTTTAGATAAAACCACAGAAATCGTAATATTAAAACAATGGATGTCGCATAGATGCATGACCTTGTCGCCGCTCCCAACCCATATAGGGTTGACGATTATATAATTCATCATAATTCATCATTTTGTGATTTAGTTGTGCGGGGAATGCGTACGTGAATTTTTGTTATTATAAATTAATAATGGTGCACTGCAGCATTATCAGTTGTAAAAACTCATCAAGGACATGTAATTAAACTAATATAGGCATAAAATTTCATCAATAAGTTGATTATTTACTAAATTATCAGTTTTAATTAATAGACGAATACTTTACTATGACATTTACTTTGCAAACTCATTTATTAATTTTCGTATTGTACAATTATCATTGCTGCTTTTGTTCTACTATAATACGCGATACACGCGACGTTGACAAACTCGCCAAGCAATGTAATGTGAAACATTGGATATCATTGTGCATTGTGTATGTTTATAATACGGTAAGATGTAGCGACATCGGTTTTGGAATAATCAAGCGCTAATTCATTTCTATTGTCTTATTGTACGATATCTGTGGATAAAAAGAACCATCGCATTAAATAATTTTAGCATCTATAGACTGTTTAAAAATCTACGTACGACATTTTGCTCTTTCTGTTGAGCCTTTTTCAGGTTTACCGACATCATCAATTCTCTGGTCACGTCGAATGGCTTATTTCTTCTTTGTTGGTTTCGCCTACTTGACTCATTCATTTTATACATCTAACTTACTGTCACACATCGTAACTGATAAAAACGGAATAATGGATTTAAAATCTTTGATCGAGAGTGATTATGAACTAAATATAGTGGAGAATATGAAAATGTTTGCAGAGAAAAGAGTAAGTAAAAGAAACGCTTGTTCAAATATTTCCGTATATGTATTTGATTTTTATACATAACAAACATGAACATGGTCAGCATTATAATAAAAACTAAATTTCCTTACAGGCAAACACTTTTGAAAGGAAAATGAATTCGATAGAAAATCTGTCGCGTACCAAAGTAATTAATATATTTGACGGGTTGGAAGCAGTCAGAACCACAAAAACTGCGTTATTATGTGATTATCCAGGAGCATACTCCATAATTGCAAGAAGTAAGTGTCGATGATTTCAAAAATTATGTCGAAACATTTTTATAATATTAAGGAAGATAAACCAGTACATAGTCCACACAATGGTAAGTGGATGATGTGGCCCATAGATACCCTAAATTTATCTATCATCTATCACGAATCAAAATGCAAATGCGTTGATACTCGATAAGGGGGTTTTTGGTTCTCATAATGCTCCTATTTTATACTGGTGCTCTGTACGAGCGCGGTGTATTTTCGGCATGGCTCTACCGCGTAAATTTCCATATTTCTGGATTTTTTTTAATTTATTCCTGTGATCTGATGCTAAAAGGGTCAAAGTCAGTTTTTTTAAGAAATGAGATTTTAAAGCCATATATTGAATAATTTGAAAACTGTTTGTGCATTATTTTTATATTTTCCCCATTATTTTGCATAGTACCCTTTGAAATGCTTAATAAACGTACGCCCTTTTAGCACAAACATTACCTAAAAAAACTTATTTTGGCTCTTTTTGCACCAGGTCACAGATTTATAATTGTAATAATTGCAATAGTATATATTCTTTGCTTATGAACTAATGTTTATGAACTGTGTTCAAGAACTTAATTAATATTTTTTTAAGCTTTCGAAAATGAAGAAATTTGTGAAATGAAAGAAGTAGATGTCTTTTCTAATATTAAGATGTATTTCTTCGCTGCAAAGAAATTTCATTATATAGAGAAGTTAAAGATTGGGTTAGTAAATTTTCATATCAAATCAAATAGAACGAATATATAATATTAAATTTAGGATGTTAAGAAAATGCATCACTCCATTTCGCCCTGTGTGTGGATTTCATATGAGTCAATTATAGAAAATACTAGAAAAATCTCAGGAAATTCGAAAGTTGACTAATAAACATTATATTTACAATAGACTTAAATTACCCAGACCATTGGCAGCCAGCAGCAGGTGCAAGACGCCTGACAGTATCGCTAATCTGTCTGCCAAAAGTGACAATTCAGAGAAATCCTTCTTACCCAGACTTGAGAGAGATTTACTAAGACCCATGGCTTGCAGTGAACTTTTTTGAGTCGACAAAGAAATATCTTTTATAAACAAAAGGCTATTAAATCGCACCTTAAGTTCATGGATATAGATCTCTTTTTCTGTTTTAAGTAGTTCGTGTGGGTAAATTCAAATCTCTTACATATCGTGTCGCTAATCGGCATAGCTCTCATTGCTGTGATCTGGCTATGAAAGGTATGTATAATAGTAAAGGAGGTTTTTCTTTGTCTTTGCCAATACGCTGCAGTAGATACTTACTGGCAGGTCTGTTAACGTTTTATTTAAAAAAAATTCTGAGCTTTCATGAAAACCTAAACCAATTCACGCTATGAATTAAATTAAAAGTTTATCTTCAACCAAAACTGTTAATTTACTGTTAAAATAAAGTTTTAATTTAATTCATAATATAACTTGGGTTTGGGCTTTACGAAAAACTAACTTTTTACACAAAAAAGTTAAAACAGGGTTTTAAATTTACGGCAAAAATAATTTCTATTGATGATGGAGTTTTAAAGTAGCATGATGTAAAATGTTATTATTAATGTAAACTCAGATTAAAATATGTAACTAATGGCCGATTTTTCTATCATCAGAAAATAGCTATTCATTATAGTTTAAAATTCAACATAAACAAATTAAAAATTACAGCTTTATGAATAAAATAGTTCAATTGTTTGGTTATTATATTATTCAGTCGGACTGTATTTTATTTAATAGTAAAATTTTACAATTGATAAATCAATTCCAAGACAATTAAATGTAGTTCGCTTATAAAATAAGGTTCTTAATTTCATAGAGTAACTTTTAAATGTTTTCTTTCGTTTTTATATCTTAGACAAGTTATTGTTTGTTTTCCAGAACTCTACGCATGAAAGAATCTGGTATCATGAAACGCATAATAGCTAAGAATGACTATACTCCCTTGAGCTGCACCATCAACGCTTTCCACAAAATTGCCCAATTTGATCATATTCTAAGTCCTTTAATTATAATGTTGGTTGCTTATGTTTTGGTCTGCGCAATTCTAGTAGCAGAAAGAATACATAATGGACGGAATAAAGTATGGCCTTATACTGAATAACGGTATGTAGGTACATATATTACTATATTGACGACAATACACGATTGATGACAACGTTTTCCAGGTGGATTAAAATATATTTGTTGCAATGTAATTAAAATGGACATCAAATGTTGGTACACTTGAAAGTACCTACCGTAAAAAAATGATATCTATCGGAATTCGGAAATTAAGATGTTTTACCTTTATCTTTATTTATTGCGTTATTTTCTTTCATCACCACAACCTGTCAAAACTCCACTGGTGAACAAAGTCTGCCACATAGATTTCCACATGTGATGATTTAATTATATTTTTCTTTACTCCATTCAAAGTACCATAAAGTACACTGTTTTAAAAATAATCATTCGTGGAATTTCTGTATTACCATCGGATCGCTGAGAAAAACGAAACGATTTTAAATATAAAATTAAAACAACGCATTAATCAATTTGAAACTATGCTTGCAGTTAGTCACCACCGATACATTTTCTGTATTTATAAAAATAGGAACAAAAAATATATCAGTACAATATAAATATGTAGTGACCGTGGTAGCTCACGCTCGCTGTAAATATAACAGAGAACGCGAGTAACCTGGTTTAAATCCCCGCCGGCACCAATAAAATTGTTAATTGCAATTATAAGTGCTGATATACGACGTGCTCGGCGGTGAAGGAAAATATCGTGAGTGAAGAAACCTGCATGTCTGAGAAATAAGTTCGCCAACACGCATTGGGGCAGCGCGGTGGACACTTCCTTGCCCTAATACCCTCTCAGAAATGAGAGGAGGCCTGTGCCAAGCAGTGGGACGTATATAGGCTGTAACTTTAATTTTTACTTTACTATTAGAATGAGACAGTTTAATGTTAGAATGAAAAGGTGTATATGTATAGACCGGGACAGATTTAATAAGGTGTAATTGTTAGAGAGGGATAGCGGGAACCTCTTATATACTGCCCATGGTCCCGCAGAGCTCGATGCGGCGACTTGTAAGGATGATTAGCATCTTCGCAGGTCAAGAACGAACCGTATTATAAGACTGTCGAAAAATATTGTAATTTTTTGGAATTTTCTAAAATGAAATGTAATAGCTACTCGTAATTGTTTTAGTTAGATGCTGCATCGGTATAAGATGATGGAAATGTCATTTGGACTGTTTTAACAAAAAATATGGAGATAAAAATTTCGTGTCATTAAAGAGTAAAATCGACTTATAAAAAATCAAAAAAAAAAAAAAACTAAAATCATGTCCACATTATAATTTCTGAAGTTGGCACTTCAATTCGTCGTTAAACGCTTTGTATCAACTACATTGGTTTTTAAGTTTTATTTAAAGTAAAATTTCATCCTTAAAATAAATCTTCGTTTTATTAAAAATGCTGTGGCAATTTCATAATATTGTTCGTCAGTTTTTAGTTTCGTCAATGATGTGTCTCATCTTATGATGAGACTAATAAAGAGTGTATAATATAACCACTCTTTATTAGTCTCACGACCGGGTCACGAGGGCATTGTAGGCAACGAATTTGCCGACAAACTCGCACGGGAGGGCTCAAAGTGCACACAATTTGGACCCGAGCCATTTTGTGGAATCTCAAGAAGCCTAGCCCGATAGACCCTTGAAACTCTTTATCACAATAAATCACTTAAGATCTGGTCTGACACACCAGGCTTAAAACATTCTAAAACCTTAATCCGAGCTTTTGATCGTAAATTCGCTTCAGAAGCCCTGGGATTAAGTAAAAATAAATTGCGCATTCTAGCAAGAGCCCTAACTGGACACTGTTGTCTTAAAAAGCACATGTCCATCCTGGGACTAAGCAACTCAAGGATGTGTCGGTTCTGTTCCATAACGGAAGAAACACCTCTACACATCCTAACCGATTGCGGACCCTTAATGCGCAAACGTAACACTCATCTGGGACACTATCTACTCCGCCCAGAAGAAGTGAAATTGCTCAAGGCTAAGCAACTCCTTCAATTCATTGAAGACATAGGGCTTAGCAGTGAACTATAGCCATAGCAGCGATCACAATAGATCTTCTAGGTCGCAGTGATACTGGTCTCTTTACCTAGACCTGCATAGCTGCTCGCACATAATAAAAAAAAATATAACCAAAACTTTTTAAAGACTAGGCTGGACAGTTTAAAGACCGGTCCAAAAGCCTACACGAAGGTCTTCGTGTTGGAGCGCAGTATCGTACTTCGGACAAAGTTCGTTAAATTTACTCTAATTTTCTCTAATGCTGTCTTCTCACGGCGCGTGATATCACGCCGTGTGCTGTATTACACGAAGCTTCCATATGTGGTGACTATAGCAGTGCAAGAGAAAAGGTTGCTATGGTCATTTCACTTTGACTCGTACGACCGTAAAGTCCTTTCGCATGCGTAAAAAGGAGTAGTCCAATGAAACAATTTTCTAATTTTTAATTCAATATGAAAAGAACCAACTTAATGGAACTTGCGTACCTAGGTGTGTTATGGTGATGAGGCTGTGGTGATTCTAACGTGCTCCACGCCACGCCGTGAGAACGGGTAAAATCAGTTCAATCGGATCTATGGATCTGATATCTCGCACCGTGAGAAGCCAGCATAAGAATACTGCGCTATATTGTGCTCTGGTATTAACATGACATAGGTAAGCGGCAAAGTATATTTATTATAGAGCAAACAAGGTTCGGTCATTGCCGGCACCAGTTAATTGTTGATTGCATTTTAAGTGCTTATTTACCACGTGCCCACGTTTAAGGAAATCATATTAAATTCAAGTTCTGAGGACTAAATAAAATATTTCAAGGAAGTCAGTCAACAGTTTAAAAAATGAAAAAAGCCAGCATGGTGGACTAGTTGCTCCATAACCCTAGAGTTATGAGAGGAGACCCAGAAGTGGGACGTGTAAAGGCTGCAAGTTTACTACTACTTTACATAGGTGAGAATATTTAATATCGACACAATGCAATGAATAGAGAAAACAAACGTCGATCAGAAAGTAAACAGAAGCTACAAAAGTGAAGCTTGCCTTCGGAAGCATTATTTTTCCGAATTTCCTGCTTACCTTTATATTTTGTTATAAGTTTGTATGCTAATAAATGTTAAATTTGATCTAGAAATAAACAATTTTAAACTAAAACTAAAAATTTTAACGCTGGCTGCGTTTCCTCGCCGAATAGCTATACTTAGCCTTTGAACGAGAAAAGAACCAGTCCTCTTATTACCAGCAGCGACGACCAGTCGCCGATACAGTGCCTTTAGGAACTTTACCACACGTGGACCCCACGGACCGACAGTCCCTACAGCAAATGGTATAAATATGTAGTCATTTTACTTTATTATAGTTTTTTTATATTGCTTGTAATGAATACTAAATGTTAAAATAAAATATATTAATTAGATTAAATACTTATGGTTTTTATTTTAATTCAAATGACTTTTCTAGTTATCCGCTACCAGCAGCTCCTAAACCAAATGGTGCGTATGAGGCGGTACTCAAAAAGTAAGACCCAACACTGCCTGCTTTTGAATCAATGCCAATAAAAGCGACTTCGTTCTTTACACAATTCCCGTCACGAAACATTGTCCAGTTGCTGCATTTGCGAGCTGAAACAGAAACCAAAATAACATTGACTTTATTATATTTAAACGTTTTTATAGTTATAACATACCACATATTGTATAATAATTTGTAATTGTATGACGTGTAGTGGCCTTGTTAGAGAATACACAACCTTATCATCCTGTGAGTGTAGTAAGAAACTGAAAGAGGATGTGGGCAGCGGTATCTTCATAAAAGGAATTTAAAAAAATAAAAAGGTGGTTAATAACACGCCTGCTAAGAGTAACTTACGCCGCCACAACATTGCGACTTATAAATAAATATAATTTATAAAAAATATTTTTTAAATCTTTATTGCATTACCTTTGAAAAAAAAAGGATAAAAAGGGCGAACTTAATGTTTAAAAACATTCTCTGCCAATCAACATGTGTTTAATACCCATCCAACCATTGGCGAGTGCATGTTGAGATTTATACTGGCTTAATTATAAAGGTTATGCGGGGTGATCTCTTTTATTTCTAAAATCTACCACTCGGGGCCATGGATATCCGATCCCGCCTTAGGAAACCACTATATGATACGTGTATGTGATGTATTGGCATTCAAATATCCTATAACACCCTTCTAAATATTGAGTAATTTATCCTTGAATTTAAATATACTTACCAGGAAAATCATCAGGGGAGTTTATAGATTCAGCCAATATCTCCCACGCTCGAGAATGGTCACAGGTAGATAAGAAACAACCCGGTTGTGACATTCCACCATTGGGATAAAAATCTTTGTGACCTGTGAGTGAAAAAATACAAAAAATTTACGATTCGATTATTTAGTTTCGAGTAATGCGTTAACGGACAAAAAATTAACAATATTTTCGAATCGATATCCATAATAATATTCTTTTTTATTTATAGAAGAGGGAGCAAAAGAGCTAGCGGCTCCATTTGATGGTAAGTAACATCTGGAGAAGGCAAGTACATTGCTGGCTTTTTAAAAAGGTGTAGACTATGAAAACTGACTGGCGGTAGCAGATTCCACAAAGAAGTCGTGTTAGGAAGAAAAGTTCGCTTAGTGAAGGAGTGCAACATATTAAGGTGTTCTTCGGTTATATACTGACGTTTACAACTATATGCCTTATTTCGTCCTGCAGGTGTCGTAATAGTGATTGTTATGACTCCAAAAAATTTCGAAGTCTTCAATATAGACGAACAAGATATGTGAGTTCTTTAGATGTGAATAAATAAAAATTATTCTATTAATTTAGTGATAAAACTAGTTTTTGTTTAACGGCTCCGTCGTGTAGTGGCTTAGGATTGAAAAGCGGCACTAAGAGCTGAGGATTCGAATCCCGCAAGGAACTAGTATTTGTATGTCTTACAAATAATTGTTCATGTGCATTTGATGTACGTATTGCCTCTACGAGACAGGGCAAAATCCTTAAGATTAACCATTAATTGGTTTTTA